AGACGACTGAGGGGTGACATGATCGAGGTTTATAAGATTATGCATGGGAGGGCAAGGAGCCGTTCCAGTTGGCAGCAGAGGACCGGACCCGAAGCAACGGTTTTAAATTACATGCAGAAAGGTATCGGCTGGATATTAGGGAAGACTTTTTCACGGCCAGAGTGGTTCAGAGATGGAATCAGCTCCCTGGGGAGGTGGTGAGCTCCCCTTCACTGGCAGCTTTCAAGAAGGGGCTGGACGAATATTTGTCAGGGATGCTTTAGGCTGGTCCTGCATGGGGCAGGGGTTGGGCTAGATGGTCTGTATGGCCCCTTCTCAACTCTATGATTCTGTGATTCTTCAGGGATGGCCAACTGAATCGAAGAGAGACCACGTGGGCTTTGCAGAGATGTGACTCGGTACCCTCCCGTGTGTGTGCGTGCACACTATGATCAGTCTGTCTTTGCAAACCAGCCGGGGGGGGGGCTTGGGCAGCTCGTCTGTCCTGAGCCCAAATCCCGCCCTCCCCGGGCTCCTCCCCCAAACCCCCAGGTATTTCCCAAGTGGGAGTGGACCACCCTGAAGTGGGAGTGGACAATCCCTGAAGAATCCTAGAATCATAGAGTTGGGAAGGGGCCATGCAGACCCTCTAGTCGGACCCCCTGCCCCATGCAGGACCAGCCTAAAGCATCCCTGACAAATATCCATCCAGCCCCTTCTTGAAAACTGCCAGTGAAGGGGCGCCCCCCACCTCCCTGGCAGCTGATTCCATCTCTGAACCACTCTGGCCGTGAAAAAGTCTTCCCTAATATCCAGCCGATACCTTTCTGCATGTAATTTAAAACCGTTGCTTCGGGTCCGGTCCTCTGCTGCCAACTGGAACGGCTCCTTGCCCTCCGCCGAACGACAGACTTTCAGATATGGGCAGCTCTTCCACAGCTGAAAAGCCCCCCCGGCCCCGCCTCACCCGTGGTCCAGTCCCATCCCTTGTGCCAGTTCTCTTTACAGGTCATTTCGCCTTTGCAGTCCTCCCACCACTGGTCGCAGTCCTCCTTGCAGAGTGGCACGTTCAGGATCCTCTCTTTGCGCCAAGAGACATCTCACTGGTCTGACCCAGCAGGGCTCTTCTGAGGTTCTTGTCAGTGGAAGGCCTCGGACTCTCTGCCCTGTTGCTGGCCCTCCAGAGGAACTGGCTGGCCTCTGTGTGAGACGGGAGGCTGGACTGGAGGGACCCTCCCTGGTCTGACCCAGCAGGGCTCTTCTGAGGTTCTTAAGGCAGAGATCAGGTGGCAGCTACTGTTGCCAAGTCTGAGCCCAGGACACATGAACTCATGAAGCTGCATTATAGTAAATCAGACCATTGGTCTGTCAAGGTCATTATTGTCTACTCAGCTGAGCCAGGGTGCTGGTGTGGTCAAGCGTGGCAGACTCTAATCTGGAGAACCAGGTTTGATTCCCCACTTGAAGCTAGCTGGGTGATCTTAGGCAAGCCACGGCCCTCTCAGCCTAAAAAAAAAATAAGGATAGCTCGCCACCTAGTGGTGCCAAAAAAGAGCTACAGCTTTGGCAGCCAAGCAATTCCGCCAGGAATCTCCTGGCTATTCCACACACAATGCCCTATGGTAATTTCAATTTTTGTCGACTCAGACTGGCAGAAGCCCTCCCAAGGTCGCAGGTAGCTGTCTTTTGTATCACCTTCTGCTTTCTCCTTTTAACTGGAAATACCAGGGACTGAAGATGGGCTCCTCTGCATGCAATGCAGTTGCCGTTCCAGCCCCTTCCACAGAGTGGAAGGGAAGGCAGCTTCAACAATGGCAATGAGACTGCACACAGTGTATAGGGGGCTGTGACCCTTCTGCAAATATAGATATAGTAGTTAAGAGCGCAGATTCTAATCTGGGAAGACCGGGTTTGGTTCCCCACTCCTCCTCCACATGCAGCTGCTGGTGTGACCTTGGGTCAGTCACAAGTTGTGTCAGAGCTGTTCTCTCAAGAGCAGTCCTCGAAAGAACTCTCTCCGCCCCACCTGCCTCACAGGCAGTGCTCCCTCTAAGCTGTGGAGTCTTGTGAGCAAAAATTCTACTTTTTGAGCTACTGGCATTAAAGTTGTGAGCCAGCGATTTGGCTGCTGCATAAATTAGTCTGCTGTGGAGCCCCATCCTTCCTGAGCTAAGACAAAAATGCGTGAGCCAGAAGCTAAAAAACGGTGAGCTATCTCACACTAACTCAGCTTAGAGGGAACACTGCAGTCCCAGGGTGCCTGTTGTGGGGGGGAAAGGGAAGAGGAAGAGGAGGAGGAGATTGTATTTATATCACGCTACTCACTCGGAGTCTCAGAGCAGCTTACAAACTCCTTTCCCTTCCCCTCCCCACAACAGACACCCTGGGAGGTAAGTGGGGCTGAGAGAGCTCTTTCGAGGACTGCCCTTGGGAGAAAAGCTCTGAGAGAACTTCTGACTGACCCAAGGTCACACCAGCAGCTGCATGTGGAGGAGCAGGGAATCAAACCTGGTTCCCCCAGATTAGAGTCCACGCTCCTAACCACCATACCAAACTGATGCCATGAAGTCCCGTCCCCCCACCCGCCCCAAAGCAGCCATTTCCTCCCAGGGAACTGATCTCTGTAGTCTGGAGCAATGCTCCCTCTAAGATGTGGAGTCTTGTGAGCAAAAATTCTCCTTTGTGAGCTCCTGGCATTAAAGTTGTGAGTGAGCGATCGGGCTCCTGCATCAATCAGTTTGCTCTGGAGCCACCTATCCTGAGCTAAGACTGAGGCTAAAAAACTGTAAGCTGGCTCACACTAACTCAGTTTAGAGGGAACACTGGTCTGGAGATTGCTTGTAATTCTGGGAGAACTCACCCATGAACACACAGGAAGCTGGTACCCGTGGACCTAGTACCATCAAGGGTTAACTCAAGTTGTTTACTCAGACTGGCAGCAGCTCGCCACTGTCTTTCCCATCACCTCCTGCCTGGTCCTTTCAACTGGAGATACCGGGGATTGAACCTGGGACCTTCTGCATGCCAAGCAGAGGCTCTACCGCTGAGCCACAGCCCCTCTTTACACCTCTCCAGGGTCTCAGGGTGAGGTCTTTCTCATCACCTCCTGCCTGGTCCTTTCAACTGGAGATACCGGGGATTGAACCTGGGACCTTCTGCATGCCAAGCAGAGGCTCTACCGCTGAGCCACAGCCCCTCTTTACACCTCTCCAGGGTCTCAGGGTGAGGTCTTTCTCATCACCTCCTGCCTGGTCCTTTCAACTGGAGATACCGGGGATTGAACCTGGGACCTTCTGCATGCCAAGCAGAGGCTCTACCGCTGAGCCACAGCCCCTCTTTACACCTCTCCAGGGTCTCAGGGTGAGGTCTTTCTCATCACCTCCTGCCTGGTCCTTTCAACTGGAGATACCGGGGATTGAACCTGGGACCTTCTGCATGCCAAGCAGAGGCTCTACCGCTGAGCCACAGCCCCTCTTTACACCTCTCCAGGGTCTCAGGGTGAGGTCTTTCTCATCACCTCCTGCCTGGTCCTTTCAACTGGAGATACCGGGGATTGAACCTGGGACCTTCTGCATGCCAAGCAGAGGCTCTACCGCTGAGCCACAGCCCCTCTTTACACCTCTCCAGGGTCTCAGGGTGAGGTCTTTCTCATCACCTCCTGCCTGGTCCTTTCAACTGGAGATACCGGGGATTGAACCTGGGACCTTCTGCATGCCAAGCAGCGGCTCTGCCACTGAGCCGCAACCCCTTCCCAAACCTGGCGGGTGGACAAACCTAGGTTTTTGGACTACACTGCAGGGCAGATGGAAGGCTATTGGGGGGGGGGGCTGGCTGGCTGACCCCCGCATCGGTAGGCAGCTGACCAGTGTTTCCTGCTCTCCAACCACAGGCTCTTCAGGAAGACCCTAGCAGAGACCGAACCAGGTCCCTCCTACCCGCAGAACAGGTTCTATACCCCAAAGGCTATTTTATTTATGTAGGTTATTCATAGTCCACATTCTTCAACAGGGACTCGTAGTATGACTCAAGTACAGTCAAGAGGACGGTATATTCAATGAACAGGACAATCCGGTTCGGGCTACAGAAATCTGAAAACAAATAAAGGCTTGAGCTTTTAAACAGAATACCTTAAGTGGTGGAGAAATTTCCTAGTCTGGAGGAAGAGGAGGTCGTTTTTATATCCTGCTTTTCTCTACCCGAAAGAGTCTCAAAGTGGCTTACAATCGCCTTCCCTTCCTCTCCACACAACAGGCACCCTGTGAGGGAGGTGGGGCTGAAAGAGATCAGAGAGAACTTGTGACTGACCCAAGGTCACCCAGCTGGCTTCATATGGAAGAGGAATGGGGAAGCAAACCCGGTTCTCCCAGATTAGAGTCCACCACTCTGAACCATGACACCATGCTGGCTGCTTTACAACCTGCTGCATTCCGTTAAGAAGAAGAAGAGAAGGTTTTTATACCCTGCTTTTCTTGACCCTACGGAGTCTTAAAGCGATTTGCAACCGCCTTCCCTTCCTCTCCACATGACAGGGACCTTGTGGGCAGGGGTCATTTCCTGCGGGAGCGCACAGGAGCGGAGCTCCGGCAGTAAGGAGCCCAGGGGGCGGGCACATGCAACTAGCCCCGCCCCATGCTCTCAGCAGCCCTCAGTCAGGCCACAAGGAGCAAGAAGCAGCCAGGTAAGTTGCAGAGCCCCCCCCCCCCCGGCCGGCCTT